TGGTGTGCATGCCTATAATCCCAGCGGCTTTAGGAGGCAGGAGGATCCCAAATTCAAAGCCAGCTTCAGCAAAGGTGAGGCATGAGGCACTAAGTAATTTAGTGAGACCCTGTCTCTAAATAAAATACAAAATAGGGCTGGGGATGTGGCTCAGTGGTAGAGTGCCCCTGAGTTCAATCCCTGGTTGAACTCAAGGGGTTCCCCCCACCCCCTCTGGCCCCCCCCAAAAAAAGATTTCAAAAGCTTGGGGAAGGAGATGAGAGAGCTTTCAGAATCCCAACAGAAACTCTGTTCTAAAACCCTATCTTCTGCGTTGTTTCCTAGGAAGCTATTGAAAGTTGTGTTCTGTTAAAATGAGATTGTAAACCAAGACTGATGAAACCCTTGTAGGAGCCAATAAATAGGGCTAGGGATGTAGCTCTATGTTACAGCACTTGCGGAACTTGTGCGAGTCCCTGGGTTCAATCCTCAGCAACACCCCTGCTTCCCTCCCCCCACCCCCACCCCCCAAAAGATAGGGGATTCCTCTTAGGAAAGAGAGAAGGTAATTTCCAGGTTGGGGAGCAGCCCATCTGACTGGAACCAGGAGTTCTTAGGGCTTCTGATGGATGTGTTCAAGAGAAAGAAAAGAAAAGAAGCAAGCACTTGATATGTTTAACCATGTTGAGATGGTTTATAGTTCTGATGGAGAGTTTGGAGTGAGATAGGAATAGGTATATAGAAAAAAATCAGCAAAAAGGTGCTAGTTTTTTACCCCAGAGTAAGAAATTACTCCAGAAAATAAACATAAAAAGTGAATGATACAACTTGGGAATATTTATGTATTCAAAATAGTGTTATGACCTTTTCTTTTTGGAAAGTGGAGAACAAAGTTTTGGGAGTCAAGAATTGTAGGAATTAAGTAATTTGCATAGTAGAAAGTTAGTAGATATATTATCTACATCTGTAAAATCAAGAATAGCTGTAACAAATCACTATATTTAGAAATGTAAACTAAATATCAGAGTAATAAAAGTAGTTGGCTTTTTTTGATGGAGGGAGGAGCAGGGATAGAACCCAAGGGTGCTTAACCAGTCAGCCACACCATCAGCCATTTTTATTTTTGTTTTGAGACAGGGTCTCATAAAGTCACATAGGACCTCACTAGGTTGCTGAGGCTGACTTTGAACTTGGGATCCTCCTGCCTCAGCCTCCTGAGCTGTTGGGATTATAGGTGTACACCACCGTGCCCCACAAGTAGTTGGCTTTTAAAGGAGAAAAATCAGAAGTGGTGAGGGTTGTTGTAAGATTACTGTTTTATTATAAGCCTTGTAATACTGTTTGACTTTTTAAGCTAGGTATTACTTCTATAAGTTTAATTTTTTTTAAATAAGTATTAACTGGAATTTATAAATGTTTACTTTAGATGTCAAATCTTATTGGTCTAAAAGCTCTACTATAATAATATGACAGTAGCATTGTTTTTTATTCACATGTATCATTTTTTAAACCAGTTTTTGCTTTCTACTCATATTATTGATATTTGGCTTCCTTGACTGTGATGGAAAAATATATTCTAAGAAACATGAGTCAGTCCTATGTTAGTCTCAACACAGAATGTAATTTAGTTAATATCTATAAATAGTTTGCAAATCACTGCTACTATCTGAAAGTTATAAAAGGGGAATACTAATCCCAGTACAGAACCAAGGAGTCACAGCAATGAAAGTGTACAGCTCTCCCATTAACCTTCAGAGGCAGGATGGACCAAAAGTCGACCGGCTTCTGTTGTGAGTATTGGATTATCTTCAGAGCTTTGTAAGATTAAAACTATTTGTTTTAGCGGCTGGAGTTGTGGGTTGGTGGTACAGCACTTGCTTGGCATGTGTGAGGCCCTGGGTTCAATCCTCAGCATCGCATATAAATAAATAAAATTAAAGTCCATTTACAGGGCTGAGGTTGTGGCTCAGCGGTGGAGTGCTCGCTTGGCACATGGGAGACCCTGGGTTTATTGTATCCAACTAAAAAATAAATATTTTTTTTAAAAAAGGTCCATTTACAACTGAAAAATATTTTAAAAAATATTTCGTTTTATCCACTTTTAAACTTGTTTATTAATAAAGAAGTGAAATGCTCACATCACTATCAAAACATCTATGTACTTTTATTTTTTGACAAATGTTGTCATTAACATCAGTTTTATTAAATGTTATCAGTTCAGAATGTGTTCCCTAGTCCAAAAACACCTACTTCATTATGTCACTTGAAATTCCTCCACCTTTACCTGAGGGTATTCATTATAGACAAGGCCAGATGAATTTGCATTTTGAAATTTGATATTTATATTTTACATGCTTCAAAAGAAAATAAGTCTTTGAAGTAATGTAAACAACATGTGTGTGCACATGCATGCTATTGATCTCATTGTTGGCCAGTGTTTTGTGCATCTGTTTACACTTGAGGATAGCTCTTTTGGAGAGAAATATTTTAGTGGTAGGAAGGACCTAGGTCTAATTATTTTCAAATGCTTTAGTATTTATAATGTTGGTCATTGGCACTTAATTGTTTTGGGGAAAATATTATATTGTTTTCTCAACATCTTTCAAATTATGAAAATTCACATTCTAACTTAAAAGAAATTAGCCTGTCAGAATTATTCCATAGTTCAGAATCAGGACACTTGTACTTTGTCAGAATCCTGAGAGGATTCCATTAATGCCTAAAGAAAACAGTCTTATGTAGAGGGAGCTCTAGAAATTTGAGCCACATGGATTACCAGTATGTGAATTGGCAGCGATAATTGTGAGAAAAGCAAGGTTTATAAATTTGGAAGTTCTCCTTAAAATGATATACAACTATCTTGGTTTGGAGGTTAAAAACCTTAAAATCAGCTTTATAACTCATCCAATTTAGGAGGGAATTATTTATACCATAAAGATTTGTAAGTCAAAAGTTCTGCTTGACACACTTTCCTAGGGAATTATGTGACAGGCATCTTTTCAGTGAGTAAGCTAAAAATTAGCTAAAGATGTTGAACCCTTTTCTTTCTTCTAAAACAAGAATCTTCTGTAGATGTATGAATTACATACTTGAGTCAGTGAACTTTGAAATATTCTCTGGCATTGTACTCTTTCCTTTTTTAAATTTATTTTCATTTTTGGTACTAGGGATTGAACCCAGGGCGCTAACCACTGAACCACATCCCCAACCCTTTTTGTTTTCTATTTTGAGACAGGGTCTCATTAGATTGCTTACAATCTTGCTTAGTTTCTGAGGCTGACTTCAAACCTGTGGATCCTCCTGCCTCAGACTCCCAAGCCACTGGGATCACAGTTGTGTGCCACCTCACCTGGCCTCTTTCTTACATCAGTAGATACTCTTATAAAGACTGAAAGCCCTAGAATATTGTGGCACGTTGAACAGTCTTTTTAAGTCATTACACCCTTGTCATAAATGCAGTTATTCAATAATTATTTCAAATTTGCCTCACCCATACCTGACCTTCTACCTGAAACTTTTTGTATTAGAAGCACTGTATGGTTTGGAGAAATAGGCATTAACTTGGGGGTTAAAAAAACAACAACTAAGAATTAGAATAAGAAATGAGGGCTGGGGAGTGGCTCAAGCGGTAGCGCGATCGCCTGGCATTCTCGGGGCGCTGGGTTCGATCCTCAGCACCACATAAAAATGAAATAAAGATGTTGTGTCCGCTGAAAACTGAAAAATAAATATTAAAAAAAAAATTCTCTCTTAAAAAAAAATGAAATGCAATCAGAATACTATGTGGTTTCAGCTGTGAACGGTACTTAAATCATTATAGTAATTATAATATTATATGCTTGCATAATTATAATAAAATTAAATATGTGATCAATATAAAATGATATATTAATATTAATTAATATATGTTAATGATATATTTATATATATTAATAAACCTGAGTATTGATTTGGCCAAATTGTTTTCCCATGACTGTATTATGAGAAGTATGTGTTGTGAGGGAGTTGTGGGAAACATCTTGCCATTAGAAGAAAATAGATAGCTAAAGATAAAACAAGAACAGTTAAAAGAATAGTAAACAGGTAGGAGGGCTGGAGTACTGAATTACTATTTTGGGTTATAAGCTTTAAAATCTATGTATTTGGGGGTGGGATTGTGGCTCAGTGGCAGAGCGCTTGCTGAGACTGGTCTTGAACTTGTGAGCCTCTTGCCTCAGCCTCCCAAGCTACTGGAATTACAAACAGATGCCACCACACCTGGCCAAAATCTTAAGAAGTTTATACCTTTCCTCTTAGCAAATTGGTGTGTCAATATTGGTCTTACAGAAGCAGTTGGAAGAAGATTCAAAGATGGAGATAACTTTATTGCTGTCTTAGTAATGATACTAGGATAACTTACATCCTACTATAAGAGACTGTTTAACCTTTAGGAGAATTAAACAGTGGAACATTATACACTCTTAGAGATAAAGTTACCAAACTCAGTGCCTTAGGATAATTTTCACAATATATTAAGTGAGGAAAAAGAAAGTAGATTTCAGAGTAGTAGGGAAATAGAATTCTAATTTATTTGGCTTTTAAAGTTAATGGAAGTGTGAGCAAGAGAGAGAAAGAGAGTGTGTGTACGTGTGTGTAATGTTGATTATAGTTGCCTCTGGATGTGAGAGTTTAATGATTTAAATTTATTTTTTTTCAACTTTTTTTTTTTAAATTTAGCAAATGTTTATTTAACTATCTTGGTTGGTAGCCATAGTATTTTCTGAAATGATCGTGTATTTCTTGTACAGTTAAAATTAGATGGTATTTTTAAGAAAATGGTAATTTCACAGCTTTTTTTTTTTCACTAAATGATTAAATCAATAGCTTGGCTTTTTAGTTATTAAAGTGACTTATGATTATGGAAAATTCATTTATTTGTAATACTTAATTCACAAAAAGTACAGAATAAAATGAGACTTTAGTGCAAAGTGCTGAAGTATGTCTGTCAATATGATCCTAATAAGGATTATTTTCATTTTCAGGCAACTGCAAGAACAGCAACGACAGAAGGAGATGGAAAGGGAAAGGCTGGAGAGAGAAAGAATGGAAAGGGAAAGGTTGGAGAGAGAGAGGCTGGAGAGGGAACGGCTGGAACAAGAGCAGCTGGAAAGAGAAAGGCAAGAACGAGACCGGCAGGAGCGCCTGGAGCGGGAGAGGCTAGAGCGCCTGGAGCGGGAGAGGCAAGAAAGGGAGCGACAGGAGCAGCTGGAAAGGGAACAGTTGGAATGGGAAAGAGAACGCAGAGTATCGAATGCTGGTAAGGAGCTTAGAGATGATTGTGTGTTCTTGCATCCAAGCTTGGATGTAGTTCTGTGTAATTTTATGTTAGTATATTTCGCATGTGAGATGGTTAGCATTGAGCAATACAGTTTGAAAGTATGAAAAATGTGCCTCAGTTACTGCTTTAACCTTTTCATTTTATTACTCTGATTGCTTAAAGACTTAAAGAAAGCTCTTGGAAACTTCTATTCTGGCATTCTAAATCTTCTAACATCCTTATAAATGACTATTAAAGTATAAGTGTTTTTATGGGAAATTTTTTGTATTGCATGAATTTGGAAGATATTTCCCTCATGAAATTAAATCATCTCAAATATTGTACCTAGTTTTATAGTACCATGCAGTAAGAAATTTGGGCCAGGTGTGTAGCATGCACCTATAATCCCAGCCATTCAAGAGGCTGAGGCAGAATGATCACCAGTTTGAAGCCAACATTAACAAGTTAAAAAGACCATGTCTCAAGATACAAAGGTCTTGGATATAGCTCAGTGGTAAAGCACCCCTGGGTTCAGTCCCCAGTTACTCCACCCCCTGCCAAAAAAAGAAATTACCCTAATAGTAGTCTAGTGTTTTTGAAGAAGGAATTAAAGCAGTAAATGAAAATATTCTAAAACTGACTAGTTATTTAAATATATTTTTTAGTATTTATGAAAATTACTAAATTTGTTGGAATTTTTTGAAGGACATAAGGTTGAAATATAACTGAATGTTCAAGGTATAATAACATTTGTGGGATTTTAAGAATTTTAATTCCTTGTGGCCTATATCAAAAGTTCCAATGTGGGTTGATTAAATATCGGTTGGTTTGTTGTTTAAGTTAAATTCATTTGTTATAACTGCCTAACTATTTTTTGGAATTATGGCTACCAAAACAAAACTTCTACAAATAAGCATTGAATTAGGTTCCTCACCATTTGTAGTAAATATTTTGCCAGTCTTGCTGCTTGTCTTTTTTTTTTTTTTAAGCAACCAAATTCTGTTTGTGGTCGTAGTCATGTAATTTTAATGTCCTTTTTGTGGACTAAATAAAAAATTAAGACTGTACTATCCTTTTCTTATAAAAAATAAATCCATCAATTTAACTTATTAGAGGAAAAGAAAACATCATCCTTTTGTGGATCTTATAATGTATTTATAAGTTAAAATTTTCTTGGGTGAAAATGGTTATTTGCACATGTGCCTAATTCTCTGGTACTAACTGTAGTCTACATTTATACATTTTGTCTGATTGCTGGTTTCGTGGCTTCACTAGCTCCCTTTTTCTCTCTTCTTTTTTATCCTGTCTTTTGCTGCTGCTTTCCACCTTCTGTCCAGCTCCATCTTCAGACAGCTCCCTGTATAACGCTCCACTTCCTGAGTATTCCAGTTGCCAGCCTCCTTCAGCACCTCCTCCATCATATGCTAAAGTCATCTCAGCTCCAGTGTCAGATGCCACTCCTGATTACGCTGTAGTGACTGCTTTGCCACCTACTTCCACACCCCCTACACCACCAATGCGACACTCAGCGACACGTTTTGCAACATCTTTAGGTTCAGCCTTCCACCCAGTTCTTCCCCATTATGCTACAGTTCCTCGTCCTCTGAACAAAAACTCTCGACCTTCTTCTCCTGTGAACACACCCTCTTCTCAGTCTCCAGCTGCGAAGCCTTGTGCCTGGTCTACTTCCAATTTCTCGCCCCTCCCTCCATCTCCTCCAATAATGATTAGCAGTCCCCCCGGCAAAGCTACTGGCCCAAGACCTGTCCTCCCCGTTTGTGTTTCTTCTCCTGTGCCCCAAATGCCTCCATCACCGACAGCACCCAATGGGCTGCTGGACTCAGTAGCATACCCAGTGTCTCCACCGCCTACCTCAGGGCCAGCAGCGCCGCCACCGCCGCCGCCTCCACTGCCTTCCCTCGCATCACTCTCACACTGTGGATCTCAAGCTTCTCCTCCTCCAAGCACCCCTATTGCCTCAACTCCCTCATCCAAGCCCAGTGTTCTCCCTTCTCCCTCTGCAGCTGCCCCTGCCTCTGTGGAGACTCCTCTAAACTCTGTGCTGGGAGACTCCTCTGCTTCTGAGCCAGGCTTGCAGGCAGCCTCTCAGCCGTCCGAGACTCCAGCCCAACAGGGTAAGGCTTTCATTATTGCTACTAACAACTAATCACTTGAGTATTGCATAGCAACAAATTTAACTGCCTAGAAAAGATAGGGTGACTTTAATAGTTGAACGTCTATGTGCCATGTGGCTTTTTTTAAAATTTAAAAAATTAAAGGTAAAAGTAATTTTTGTTTATTCTATTAGATCAGTTGTATTGGGATAATTGATGGGGAATTCCCATATTGAACTAGCTTTTGTTATCTTCTGCAGTATCATAAAAGGTGTTTTCTAGTACTTAAATTTCACTAGGAAGACTAACTTGACCTTTTTGATCTACCACACACAAAATATATAATGTAAATTGTTTTCCTTTACTTTCTGAGACAGATTTATAAGATGAAACATCCTAGTGTTTCCACTGGAGCAGTTTTGTTCTTGGGTCCTTTTCACGTTGGCCTCTTCTGTGTTTGGCTTCTCATATTGGACTTTTAGGATGGCTGTCACCTGGACCCTAAAAACTAATCCTGACTTTGTAGGAATGGTAGTGGCATCATATGACCCAAACTTACTTGACGTAGTGGGAGAAGGGATGGCTGAGAGAATAGCATTCTCTACAGTTATTTTCCACTCTTCCTTAACACAACCTTATTCCATGGCATCGGGGAAGGGAGGATGGGGAGGATATAATTAAGAATAAGCTTAACTATCCCCATCCCCACTAGATTTTTATATTTAGGATTTAGAGAGGATGCTGAAACAGTCTTATAATCTGGATCTAAATATACCTCTTCTCTAAAAATTGTAGTTCCTAATTAAAGTAACAATAACATTGTGAATAGTTTTGTTTTTATTGACATCAGCACTGAACTAGAGAGAAAAAGCCAGCCTGATGAAGCTGACCTTTTTGCCTCCTTCATTCTCAGAACTCATGACACTGTACAGGACAGCCTATTACTCTGTGCTGTACTGTGAACCATTTATGTTTTCTACTGTACAACTGCTTAGGCTGAAAAAATTAGCAGTTACCACCCAGTATTTGTTTTTCTTTTAAACCTTAAGGGGGGAATTATCTAGCAGTTCAATATTCTGATTTCAAAGTCTTGTTCACTCCCTTTGTGATTTTTACAAGATTTGAACATTTTTGAATTTTTTATTTTCTGGTACTGGGGATTGAACTCAAGGGCACTCGACCACTGAGCCACATCCCCAGTCCTATTTTGTATTTTATTTAGAGACAGGGACTCACTGAGCTGCTTAGCGCCTTGCCATTGCTGTGGCTGGCTTTGAACTTGACAATCCTCCTGTCTCAGCCTTCTGAGCTGCTGGGATTACAGGCGTTGCACCACCACACCCAGCCCCTTGAACACTTTCTATACCCATTTCAAAGGCCAAAACAACTCTGCGCTTCATATTCTATATTATTTAATTATTTCTGAGATTTTAAATTCCCTTCAATGATTGTCACTTTTGACTACATGTGGGATTTAAATATAGAACATTTTTAAGGTACTGGAGCCTAGGACTCACTTCTCACTCATATTCTTAGTCCAATCACTTTGTCTATAAACAATAAATATCTGACTTTATTATAGTAGAATGTTAACACCTAAATTCACATGGGTTGTTTGGATTTGTTATTTCAAATAGTACTAACTATCACTATATAACTTGTTTGGAATGCTTATCTCTCCCAAATTTTACAAGCATTTATTTTGCTTATTTTCCCAATTCTGATGGGAAATATTTTTTAATTAGATGATCTGTTGCATAGTTCTATTACTAAAGGTCTAACATTCAAATAAGTAGTTACTAAAAATTTGGCTTTATATTTTAGTATATATTTAGTATTGTTTCCTTTGCTGATCAGTTTTAAAAACAGACATTATTACTGTATGTATATATGTAACTACACTAAAAAAAACTTATTCCACTCCCTGGTTTATACCCAAAGGACTTAAAATCAGCATACTATAGAGATGCAGCCACATCAATGTTTATAGCAGCTCATCACAATACCTAGACTATGGAACCAACCTAGGTGTCCCTCAATAGATGAATGGATAAAGAAAATGTGGTGTATATACTCAATGGAATATTACTTAGCTTTAAAGAAGAGTAAAATAATGGCATTTGCCAGTAAATGGTTGGAGTTGGAGAATACCATGAGAAGTGAAATAAGCCAATCCCACAAAACCAAAGGCCTAATGTTTTCTCTAATTTATGGATGCTAATTCACAATAAGGCAGGGTGGGATGGGCACTAGGGAAGAATTAGCATTACCTTAGATTAGATAGAGGGAAGTGATGGGAGGGGAGGAGAGGGGATGTGGGGATAGGAAAGATAGTAGAATGAAACAGACATTATTACTGTATGTATATATGTAACTACATGACTGATATGATTCTGCAACATGTACATTCAGAAAAATGAGAAATTAATTCCATCTATGTATGTATGTATCAAAGTGCATAAATGCATTCTACTGTCACATATAACTAAAACAAATTTAAAAAAAACTGATTTAGTCTTTAAACATTGTAATAAATTGAATTCCAGCTGACTAATATACTGATAAGTATATTAGTCAACTTAATTTAGCATAGCATTGTGTGTACCTATATACAAAAAATAATATTACTTGGCTCTATTGTTGATGATCTGTCTTTAACATTTCTTCTTTGCAGGTGTTGTTTTAGGACCACCTGCACCCCCGCCTCCCCCACCACTCCCACCATGTCCTGCTCAGGCCTCAGCACTTCCTCCTCCCCCAGGACCTCCTCCACCACCTCCACTGCCATCCTCCGGGCCTCCACCTCCCCCTCCTCCTCCCCCACTTCCTAATCAAGTGCCCCCTCCTCCACCACCACCTCCTGCCCCTCCCCTCCCCGCATCTGGATTTTTCTCGGGATCTGTGTCAGAAGACAATCGCCCTTTAACTGGACTTGCAGCTGCAATTGCTGGAGCAAAACTTAGGAAAGTGTCACGGGTAAATATGTCTCCAAATTACTCTATTTTTAAATCTGTCTTATTCTTTCTAAATATCTAAAATACTGGATATATTATTCTAATTTTATAAACCCTGTGTTAAAAATCAAAATGGTTAAAATTTACAGAAAAGTTGCAGAGTGGCATAAATGATTTCTGTGAATCCATCATCTGTATTTATAGGTTAATATTTTATCATTACATTGTTTTTATCTGCATAATTTGTGAGAGTAAGATAGAAATATCATGCCCATTTTCCTAAATAGTTCATTGTGTATTTTGAATGAGAAAGAATGTTTACCTGCATGATCATAGTGTAATTACCAAATCAAGAAATTTCACATTGATAGAATATGACAGTCCGCAAATGTATCCAAATTTATTTTAATCTGTGACAGTTCCTCAATCTTTGTTTCTTTTTTCAAAATTTTTGACATTTTTTTAATTGTCAGGGTTTTTTTTGTTTGATTGTGTTTTGATTGTTTACATTTTTTAGATGACCTTCAGTTTGACTTATTTGAATTTTTCTCAATATCAGATTCAGGTTATACAATTTGGGTGCAAAAATACCAACAATTATGGCCTTCTCAGTGTATTGTTCAAGAAGACATGATATTGTTTCATCTTATTATTAGTAATGTTAACTTTGATAAAACTCCCATTGATATATAAATTAATACTGTTCTCTTTATTGGTTCTTAAGGTTATAAAAAATAATATTTGAGTACTTTTTTTAAATTAAAGCTGATGTTTCTTCTATTTTTAATGTAATACATTCATGGGTATGATTGTCTAACATAGGAAATCATTATGTGTGTGTATTTTCGTTAAGATGGAGGATGCCTCTTTCCCAAGTGGAGGAAGTACCATCAGCGTGAACTCATCCAAAACAGATACAAGTCGTGGAAATGGACCACTTCCTTTAGGGGGTAGTGGTTTAATGGAAGAAATGAGTGCCCTGCTGGCCAGGAGGTGAGAATTTTTGTTAATTTTATTCTGAAGATAACGAGTCAATTCTTTCCTCTTAGAGAAATTTTTATATTTTATAATAAGAGATGATTTTTTTTTAAATCCAATTTGCTATCTTTTTAGGAGAAGAATTGCTGAAAAGGGATCAACAGTAGAAGCAGAACAAAAAGAGGACAAAAGTGTAAGTGAATAAAAATAACCCCTCACACCTTAAACATGAAATTCAAGCACAGCTTCTTCTTCTTCTTCTTCTTTTTTTTTTAATATTTATTTTTTAGTTGCAGATGGACACAATATCTTTGTTTTTATTTATTTATTTTTATGTGGTGCTGAGGACCGAACCCAGGGCCTTGCACACGCCAGGCGAGCGCTCTACCTCTGAGCCACAACCCCAGCCCTCAAGCACAGCTTCTTACAAAAACATGTCAGAGATTATTTAATATGAACTTAATTAGTTTGAATTTAGATTTGCTTATTTTTAAGTATGCATATCTTTAAAATGGCTTTTGAATATTATTTACAAAGTTAAAATGGCATTATTAAAATGAGTTGAATATGTGGAGTTGTGGGAAGACCACTGAAGTTCAAACCTATAATAGAATCAGTTCTATTGTTATGCCCTACCTTTAAATGAGTGAATGACCTCTTACTAGGGTTTTGTCCCCCATCCCTCCCTCATCTCTTAGGCTCTCAGTTTCCTTGTATTAATGCAAAATGAAGAATTTGATTAAATCAACAGTTTGTCATCCTAGGACCCCACCCCCGTTCAGCTGTACAAACTTTGCTCTCTATCTGTTCTATATGTTGATATTCAACACCTAATTGTTTTCCCTGCACCATTTGACTGCCTTTCATGCCATCTCTCAAATCTGTCTGGCTTCATATCATTGGCTAGTGCAGGTTCTTCATGAGAACACTTAAGAAAGGAGATGTGTGGGGGCTGGTTGTAGCTCAGAGGTAGAGCGCTTGCATAGTATGTGTGAGGCAGTGTGTTCGATTCTCAGCACCACATATAAATATAAATAAAGGTCCATCAACAACTTAAAAAAATAAAAAAATTTAAAAAAAAGGAGCTGTGTGGACAGTGGGAGTTGGGAATGTTAGGAAGGTAAGAAGGATGATACCTAAGTTGGAATGGAAGGAAGAGAAGATAGAGGAAGGAAATAGTGGGGAATGACATAAAGAATATGGAAAGGGAACATGTAAAATGTTAAATCAGTACAGCAATAGTGAATATGATATTAATACATATATTTCTGCATATTTAGGAAGATTCAGAGCCTGTAACTTCCAAGGCTTCTTCAACAAGCACACCTGGTAAGTTCAGGAAAGATATTTTAACCTTTATAAATTTTCCTCAAATATTACTTCCTAATTAAAAATATCCCCTTTCCCATGTTTGAACCAACTGACTGCTTGGTCACTAAGATGTTAAAGTTCTTTGTTTACACTTGAAAGCATTGACTTTTCTCTGCTTTTATAATCTCAGAAGCTGCTGTTGCTTTCTTTCTGGTAATGTGAGATCTGTTAAAACTCAACATTTTTCTCATAACTATCTTTGAAAGTTATTTTACACATCTCTGGGTATTGTCCACGATTTGAGTTACTTGCTAAAACAAGGAAAATACATTATTAGACAATGGGAATATTTTTAATAGTTCTTTAAGGTAAAAGTTAAGTGAGTAGACCTGCATTCTATTTCAGAATATTCTCAAATTGCAAAGGTTGTCATTTTAACCATTCATTTGGGTGTTGATAATCAAGAAAATAAAACTTCTAATTTGTAAGCTAAAAATTTTTTTAAGCTTTTGGGAAACATTTTTGAATACAGTAAAATTTCTGACATTGACAATTCTTGGACATGGCATATATTACTTAGAATATTAACAAAACATATTTTACTGGAAATACTTAGTGATATTCCATCCAAGATTCCCATCTTGGAGATTGTGACATACTTACTCATTCTTCTTTGTATTGATCAGACTAAGAACTGGGCTCTTTGCCTCCTTAACTATTTTGGAATGAAGTAACAAATAAAATTGATAAATTAATATCTACAGTGGTCTATCAAAGTCATTTTAGAGAAACATCTACATTAATGCCTACATATTTTGATTTAGAGACTCCAGCTGCCTTTAGAATTTTATTTCTAAAACATACTTTTGTTTTTGTCTCATTTCTATTATTATCTCATTTTCATTATTCTTTTGTTATGTCTCATTATTTAGCAGTCTGCTGTTATAAATAAAAATTAATTATATGTACAGCTATTAAAACCACAAATAATTTAGAAGTAAATCATTCTTTAAAAGGTTAAAGAATCTTAGAAATATATGAGAGTTGTAAATTCTCTCCCCAGAAGGAAAGATCATTTTTATACAAATTTCCTCACAGTTTGAAAGTGTTCCTGATTCCCAGAACATTATCCATGGGCCCCAGCTTAAGGACTGTTCTTACCTAACATATATTTACTTATTTCAAAAATGAAAAATGAAAGCATGAATTTTTGTGTGTATTTGCATACATAGACAATGAATTCATTCAGAAGGGCTTGTGGCCTTTTTTTTCCCCTCTTGTTTCACTTAGTATTTTTAATTGGCATGTGTCAGACACTTCATAGGCGAAAAAGAACTGAAAGATAAAGACCTGGAGCACAGAAAACTCTAATCCAGTTGAGAAGATGAGCTATACTTAAGGAAAAGTTAATCTTTTATAACCATATGTTGAATATTAATATGTCAGAGAGGGAAGAGATTTTATGTGGCGCTATCTGGGCCATTGTTACATCGTAGAGTATTTGGTATGATTGAAAGTAGGGGAAGGAATGATATTTCAGGAAGTATGTCATGAACAGAGACATGGAGTCCAAGCTGAGCAAAAAGAGACCAGGAGATAGTAAATAGACTCACCTGTCTAGAATAGAGAATTCCTCTTGGACAAGTGAGTTGGAAACAAAAAGGTTGAGGATAAAGCTCAGGAATTAAGGCTTTATCCTACACATACTGGGTTAATGTATGATCAGTTGGAACTGTTTTCAGCACATAAATGGCACTTGTGAGTATTGTGATATAGAATCAGGAAAGACTGAGTCAGAGAAACCAATTGGGGAGCTCTGCCAGTGTTTCCAAAGACCCAGCCTAGGCTCTTCCTCCTGAAACACACCTAGAACCCCTTAAAGAAGATGGCCTTATTCCTCCCAGCCAGCTGAGCCTGTTTAAGATTAAAAAGAGGGTTCTTGTTTGGCTAATTGAGAAAGGACCTCAGACAGTGGTTAAAAAGCCACTGCATCTTACCTTCTTTGGAATTACTTTTCTTTCTACCTGCCTCTTTGGTGACACTGCCCTAATGAATGTTCCCCTCCCTGTTCAAGATGTACCTCATTTTTACTAAGGACTTCCCTCTTTTCACCTTTTGTGCTGATGTGTTAGATGTGTTTCTGATTCTGGCTGTCCTGGATACCATCTGATTATTTGATGTTCCCCAGCCAACTCAGGATCTTGCCACCACTGTGACAGTCATTGAGAGAATATGTTAACTGTTAGAATATAAAAGAAGAAATTAAAAAGTATTGTGAAAAAGGGAAGAGGGGTGATTAATTAATGAGTAACGCAAGATTGGTGATGATTTTACAATGCCCAGATGCCTGCATGTAGCAGAAATCTAGAATCAAAAGCCATTCTTCATGAAAGAGTTCTCATTTAGTTTTGCACATAAATGTATTTTTAAGAGACTATGTAAAAGATGCCTAAAAGAATGCAGAAGCCAGTTGAGCAGCTACATTGGAACTCAGAGCAGTTTTATGGTTAAAACTATACAGCAAGATCACAATTCATCTATAGACTTGATTTTCACATGGCTCAAATGCCTTTCTTCCACGACAAGATCCCACTTCTCATTTTATCCATTCATCCACTGAAACCAATGACAGCATCAGAGAGTAAGCCAAATTAGAAAAAAGTTCAAAGCACCATAGCCAGCCAATCAGTGAATTCACTACCTAGTGTCTTATAATGAGAGCTTAGAGTGAGTTTACTTATATTTAACTGAATTATCTGTTAAGTTCAAAGAATTGATTAAGAATGAAGGAAATATAATAGAATTGTATGATTCTGAAATTTATTTTGAGTTTCTTAAAATTTTTTACCAAGAGGACTGTTTGGATTTATGAACTGCTGAAGTACAGAAACACATTACAGATTATGTTTTTGTTTTATTATTGGCACTAAAAATAGATTAAAATAGTGTAGATACTATCTCATTCTAATTAAAATTTTCATCTTTCTGATGACATGTTTATTAGAGAAACTTCTTACCATTTGGTGTATAGAACTCTATAATATTTAGATTTTATAATCTTAGATTCTTCTAGAGAAATGTCTGCTTATTAATTTTTCCTTATTTTAAGGTCTGAAACTGCATGTTAGAATTCTTATTTATTTAAATTAATGTTTAGAATTTAAATAACATTTATCTACAGTCTATATAAACAGGATGGTATTTCAGTATTTTATTGTTTCACAGTAACTCTGGAAAGCGCATAAAGTGTTTAGAGTAACATTTGTTCCTTTCTTTTGAAGAACCAACCAGAAAACCTTGGGAAAGGACAAATACAATGAATGGTAGCAAGTCACCTGTTATCTCCAGGTATCAATTTTTTTTCTAAGTTTTATATTACATGTGTATCTAAAAAGAAGGAAATACAGTTTTTCTATTGAAAGAGTTATAGATTAGAAATTTCACAAAAGGAGCACATAAAATAGTCGTAATTCATTTATTATTGGACAGCCACTGAGCCCAATGTATTTTTACTAGTGAGTGCCTGATAAATTTTACCCTGTATTTATTAACCAGTTGGTCTGAAATTTTAAGAATAGTTTTATCCCTCCCAATTTATTTTGAAAAATTAAAACTATGGAAAACTTGAAAGTATGTTACAGTAAATACTCATATAGTCATCACATGTTAACATTTTGCCACATTCATCTTAACTATATACATATTCATACTTTTTTTCCTTCTGAATAGTTTAAAAGCAAATTGCAAATAAGTGCTGCTTCACCCTAAATATTTTAGCTTTTCTGAAGAATCAGGACTTATCCTTTGTAACCAGAGTTGTACCATTACAACTCCAAGAAATTTAACATTGAACAATAATATCTAATATAATATACATTCACATTTCCCCATTAGTCTGAATGACATCCTTCAAAGGGTTTTTTTTTTTTTAAGAACCTTTTGTATTTTAAACTGATAACCAGCTAGAGATAAAAGACTGTAGTTTATAACAGTAGAATAAAACTTAAAACTTTGAATTTATGAAATAGAAATTTGCTCTTTCTGTTGAAATTTCTAATCATAATCAAGTTACAAAGATAGTGCCCAGAAACTACCATGGGGGCAGAGTCAAAGCAAAGTATTTCCTAGCTAGCATACTTGATTATCAAGGCTGAATTTAAGTCATAGGTCTTAAACATAGATGAAATTTTTTCTTGGTTTATGAAACAGTTTAAAAGGCTCATATGTTTCCCAGACCGAAAAAAAAAAAGATATGTATTTAGAGACTAAAGAAACTGTTTAACTTTTCTTTCTGAGCTACCTATCTTATTTTTGCCTCATGAAAAGCAAACTTGACTCTAATTATAGAAATCTATTAAAGAATAGTAAGTACAAAGATAGACTTCATAGTATCGCAAACCTGCTCTGTGTTGTCCTAAATTTGGATTTGGCTTTTGTTTGTTTTTTTCTGCTGGCAGCAAAGAAGATTTGGTGATGACACAATTATTTAAGCTCCACAAAGAACCCAAGCCTTTTTGAATGTATAAAAGCTTTTGGTTTGTAATAACTGAAAGATGGTTATATTTAAGTTCAGAAGAAAATGAAGGGAATTGCTTTTGGTCAACATATTTTTTCAGTAGAACAGAACTGAAGTGACCTTCTTATCATATCTCTAATAGTTATACTTTTTCTTCAGTAGAACATTAGGAAGCCTGATTTTTCAAGTATATAACAGAGTACCGGGCTGTGATGGCCATTTGTCCTTTGAAGATCTAAATTGTGACAGGAAAGAGTCCTTTCCTTTTTTTTTTTTTGTCATTACCCTGCATTTCTACTTCATTGCTTCATTGACAGGAATCAGATAAGTGAGTTTATTTAAAATTAAGCCTGAGTTGATGGTGAAAGTTGTATCTTGGAAGGGACATGAAAGAGAGGTGCTCCAAATGGAATAAGATCTTTGATTTGTTTGGTCTCATTTAGTGAAGAAAAAATGTTCTTGGAAAGATTTTTTTTTTCTCCAGACTTTTAAAGGAAGTTAAAGTGCTTTAAAGGTCACCATTTTGAAAGCATTTTTTATATGGATTAGTTGAATCTTGCTAATCATATTTCAACTCCATTAGATGCTTTCCCTCCCAACCTGTACCAAAACAGAAATTCTGATACACTTGAGTATTTTCTGACCTCTCTTGTACTGCTCTTTTTTTTTTTAATATTTTTTGAGTTATAGATAGACACAACACATTTGTTTATTTTATGTGGTACTGAGGATTGAACCCAGTGCCTCACAAATGCCAAGCAAGCGCTCTACCACTGAGCCACAATCCCAGCCCCTCTTGTACTACTTTTGATAGGTTATATATTTCTACCATTTATGTCATAAAGTTTCACTAAAAACAATTTTAAACTTTAGATTTTAAAAATCTGTTTAAAAAGTGAAGAATTATATTGCCTTTTTAAGTTATCTCCCCTCTTCCCCTCTACTTTTTTTTTAGTTGTAGGTGGACATGGTACCTTTATTTTTTATTTTTTGGATGTTGATGGACCATTATTTTATAGATTTATTATTTATATGCAGTGCTGAGAATCGAACCCAGTGTCTCACACATGCTAGGCAAGCAAAGCACTCTCCCACTGAGCTACAACCCCAGCCCAACCTTTATTTATTTATTTTTTTTGATAATTTATTTTTATGTGGTGCTGAGGATCCAATCCAGTGCCTCACACATGCTAGGCAAGCACACTACCACTGAGCTATAACCACAGCCCTTCCCTCTTCTTTTTAAAAGCAAATACCTTGTCTGTTTTATGTTTATGAATCTAATCCTTGCCTTGTAGTGAAAGTACTCATTTGTCTTTGTAATATCCATGTGAATGTTATGGTAGGATGAGTTAAGTAATAATGAGGTGCTGCATTATGCTGAATTTATTAAATGAAGATGTCAGCATAATAAAAGCAAGAAGGTTTTTTAAAATGTTTCAAACTATGACTAGAACATAACATTGCAAAGTTTGTGAATTATTTCTATGGTTTTAATTTGAGAACTTACTGATCTTGGGGCTAGGGGTGTGGCTTGGTGGCATAGTGCTTGCCTGGCATGGGCAAGACCCTGGGTTCAATTCTCAGCAACACACACATAAAAAGAACCTTACTGATCCTTGTATTCACAATGGGGAAAAAAGTTCCTTATGTATCTGAGTACAATTTTGTCACAAGCCATAATGATTTTAAGTCTGTTAGTTAATATTCACTGTAATAAAATTTTCTTTGTGTTTTAATACTCGTTGAGTAATTGGTAAGTTTTACTATGCCTACGGCCTACAAAAGTGCTACTGTGTAATAATTTTAAAAATTTTTTCTGTAATTGTCAAGTAAATGGTATCCTCACATAAGTAAAATAAGTCTCAACATATCTTTTTTTAATTGAAGAAAACAATTATTTTAAGGATAACAGATTCCTTTAATTCTTGTTCCGTTTGCTATAACTAAAAAACCTGTAAAGCATTAACATCATGAGGATTATTTTTTTTTAAAGTTCTATTATATATTCCTTTAAATGGTTTTCCCCTCCATAGACGGGATTCTCCAAGGAAAAATCAGATTGTTTTTGACAACAGGTCCTATGATTCATTACACAGGTATCATCCTGCTGTGACTTTGTGGTTTGAGACTTTTAAATAACATGTTCAGGATAGGGCTGAGCTTTTTCTACCTGGATTGGTAATCACCACAAGAAGGATATTCAGGAAGATTGAGTCTCTCATTTTTAGCTTTATTTTGAAAACTTCAATAAAAACAAAAACCTGCCATTACTTTGAAGTCAGACTAGGGTAAATATAAAATGGTAAACAACAGAAATAACTAGAATGGAAATCTAAGGCCATATATATTGTCTAGGTTGTTCATGATTATGAGACAGGCTTTTAAAGCGTGGAAAAGAAGATCTTGTGCTGGTTGTTACTAGAACACAGGACAATATTATAGCCACAGTTCTGGATATTCTTTGAGAAAAATCTGTTTCCTAGATACTGTTATAGTAAATCATCTTTAATAACTTAACCTAATATCCTGAGCTGATTCTTTTCTAGGATGTGCCTATTATGCCATTTTTTAATGAAGAAAACTTAAAAGATATGAATCATTCAGGGCTGGGAGGGGGATATGTAGCTTGCATGCATGCATGTGTACACACACAAAAGGATTAAGTGTGGGGAGATAAAACATCTGTTTCTTTCTCAATTAAAAATTTTGACAATGAGCTGTGGCTGTGGCTCAGTGGGTAGAGCGTTACCTCACACGCATGAGGCTCTGGCTTCAATCCTCAGCACCACATAAAAATAAATAAATACATAAAGATAGAAAAATAATAATAAATAATAAAAATTTTGACAGTGAAACCAAGCACTTTTTCGCTGTTTATAGAACTTGGCAGAATGGGAATTTACTGTGGTACAGTTATTTTATAGGCAGGTGTCTAGAGTCAACACTCTTCATTAAACAATACAATCCTCTGAGAAACCCTTGTATTTTGTTATTAATTATGTTGAAGACATGGGTTAAGAAAACATTAAATATATTCATGTTGTCATATGCATCTGTTTTGTAAAATACACATTAAGTTTACTGAAAAACATGAATTGAATAGTATACAGAGGGAGTGCTTATGATTAGGAGTTCTGTAATCAGACTCTGATTAAATTCCTATCTGCTATATACTATTTTCATGCTATGATGATCAATATTTGAAACTTAGTTTTGTCATCTAAAACTCCATAAAATGTTTATATTGCAGTAATAAAATAGTTTTTCCTGCTTTATACTGAGGTAGAGTAATTGTTCTGAATAAAATATTTATTTATTAAGAAAATTTGCTAGAAATATAGTGTTTAACAATGAAATCTTCTCACTTCTTTCACACATAGTACACATAGTAATGTTGAAAAACCTTTTTTTAAAAAAGTGGTGATTACGTCTTTCCTTCAGTATGAAAAGTTCCCCCCTTGAGTTAATTCTCATGGTGGTGGTGGTGATGGATTGCATGTTAGCATGAATTAAATTTTATAAAAATTGCATGTTTCTACAATTGTTTATAACACTTATAATTTTTTACTTGTTTAGAAATAGGATATATTTACAGCATACTGCTCAGTCATGTAGCATATTATAGCTGTTCACATGAATTTTGGAGATATTATATAGCTTCAGAGAAAATAGCTAGTTAGTTATGCTACTTAAATATGATTAAAAACAAAACAATAATTAGTAATTTAATTCTGGAGAGCAGGAATAGATAGCACGAGTACATAGAATGCAGTTTATCAACCTTCAAGCATATTTACTAGGAGGCTAGGTATGGTGACATATACCTATAATCCCAGTGATTGAGGAGCCTAAGACAGTATGATTGTAAGTTCAATTCCAGTATCATCAACTTGGTGAGGCCCTAAGCAATTTAATGAGACCCTGTCTCAAAATACAAGATAAAAAGAACTGGGCATAGCTCGGTGGCAAAGTGTTCCTGGGTTCAATTCCCAATATTAAAAAAAAAAAAAAAGAAGAAGAAGAATATTTACTAGAGTTGACTGCACAGAAATATTAGAACTTACATACTGTGGGGCCAGGGATATAGCTCAGTTGGTAGAGTACTTGCCTTGCATGAACAAGGCCCTGGGTTCAATCCCTAGCACCACAAAAAAAAAAAAACAAAAAACTTACATACTGTGAATCTCAGTAAATCTTAAATGACTGTGGAATTAAGTTGTCTCTTTCACATAATAAGAAGGTATATCTTCACAAGAGGAAAGGAAATATTTCATACAAATCTTCTTATCCTCTTCAGTGCCTACCTCACTGCTTGTTGGATAACATTATCAGAAAGTTATTATTTTCCTTTGTTCATATAAGCAGATACCTAATACCTGTTCATAATGACATTTTAAGCAGTACTATGTTTGGGTATTAAAATAAATTAACCCAGTATTTTGTTTTCATGAGCAATGCCTATGGGCATTATATTTTATGAATTATGAAATTATAACATTGAAAAAGTCATACATATTGGGTCTCAGTTCAGATTTCTAATGTTGGAACTCTCCAAAATTGAAGATACATGTGGTTTAATGAATGGTCTCGAATTATATTGACTTATGATTCTTAGAGATTGGCCACTTCTGTGCTAAACCAGAAAATAAAGGAGAACTTCAGGTCTTCCACTGAGAATTTTTCTCTTATTGCCAGTATTGGAGAGGGAGGCATGACTGATTTATTTGGTGTTGAAACATTTGCTTAAAATATGCCTAATCTCTAAGACTTGTCATGTAAAATTTTTAATAGAAGCTTAAGTTTTTTTAAGTGTGTAATTATTATTGATTATTAGCTTCTATCATTTCCTTGTTGAGTTTTTTTTTTTTAAACCATGTAAGTTTTTAGAAGTATTTAGTCTGAAACAGCATTCAAATTGATGTCTCTATAAAAACCTTATAGGGAAATAGCCACATAGCCAATTAGATATGAATGTACTGCTAATCTTATTATCATTCTTTCAACATTCTTGTTTGTTTTAATGCTAGAAATGGAATAAAGTGAGGGCTGGGGAATATAGCTCAGTTGGTAGAGTGCTTGCTTTGCATGCACAAAGCCACAGGTTCAATCCCCAGCACCACAAAAAAAAAAAAAAAAAAAAAGAAATAAAAAGATACAAAGAAATCATGCTTACTAAAATGTTTTCTTCCTGCAAACTGAGGCATAGAATTTGTAAACAGATGTGTATTACAGTAAATATTCAAGTTTTTGTATTTTTCTTTTTATTGATTAATGTAAAAAAGTAAAAAATATTGGTTTTCTATTCTAATCAGTCCCATGATTTTGACACTTAACTTTTTAACAAAATGTGTTTTATTTAAGAAATGTGTTTAAATCTGGTGTTGGGTTGGTAAAGTTACAATTATTTATGAGCTCATAGAATCATAAGTGTGGTTTAACCTATCCTGGAAATTACATTTGTACAGACCAAAATCCACACCCTCGTCACAGCCCAGTGCCAATGGAGTCCAGACAGAAGGACTCGACTATGACAGACTGAAGCAGGTGGGTGCTTTCCTTTACTTGGACTGGTTTCTTTTTAAAAGATACCTTGTATGTGTAAGTGCATTGTGTGCAATTGTAAGAAAATCATGGGCTTCTACTTCCCCTTACCATTTTGGGGAAAATGGGCTCAACAAATCTCAGTTTGGTAAGAATGTGAGGAGATAAGCACTCTCATATACTTCTGCTTTTTAAGAGGCACTTTGGGGAAGCAACTCAAAAGCCATTGACTCTAGCAATTTCATGTCAAGGAATTTATGCAAAGTATTGTGAGAGTATACAGGTAACAAAACAAATGTGTGCAGTTATCTCAGTTTTTTAAAAGAAAAAGATATTGTTTATACTTTGAATACATAGTGCACTATATTTAATACCTATATACTCAGGAAGGAGTAACAGGTGATGAGATTGCAAGTTTTAACGTCTTATTTCTAAGAGATGAAATAATGTTTTTAGATAAACCTAATTTTTGGACTGAAAAGCTATTTGAAATGTTAAATTTTATGTAATTTGAAAGAAAAGCATGTGGTCATTGATAATCAAGACCTTGTTTTGCTTTATATTAAGTGTGTCTTTCATTTCTTGAAAATGCTTTAACATTGAGCATTTGCACACGTTTGAACATATGGTAAATTCTTAAATTACCTGAAGTAATGGAGTAGAAAAAGGGAATAGATTGAATTTGAGGGATTATTTGAAGTTTAATCTGAATAAGTATATCTATTAGCTCACATTAATAACCATTGTGTCTCGGTTTCATTGCTATTTTATAATTGACAAATTTTTTCATTAATGAATCTTAACAGAGCAGTTTAATTTTTCCTAAAGTATGCAATGTTAAAGTTACATAATTTAAAACTAATCCTTTCAAAGATAGTTGTTTTTCACCAATTTAGCTTCAGATCCACAGTTCTTGAAGAAGTATCCAGGACATCCCTGTTAAAACAGAAATATAATGTAGACCACATACATATTTTAAGTTTTTCTAGTAATATTTTTAAAATGGTGAAATTAATGTTTTACTTGACCTGATGTATTTGAAATAAGCTCATTTCAATATATTGTTAATATATTTGAAATTCTATTGTTATTTCACATTATCTTATTCATACTAAGTCTTTGAACTCTGATTCATATCATTTCAACTAGCCACTTTCAAGTGCTCAGGAGCTATGTGTGGCTGGTGCCTTCTGTGTTATATGGTGTGGGTCCAGCAGGGTTCTGTCCATCTTTATCTCTGCTTCATTAAGCCAGCCCCTGAAAAATCCTAAATGCCCTCCAAAAGAATTCTAGATTCTTTGAAGTCTTGCTTGGCAGCTATGGTGATTCCTAAGAAATCCCCATACTTAACACCAGGTAATCAATATTTGCCAAGAGCCGATTGTCCAGTAACATCCTCCTCCTTGAAACTTCTTTTATATATTATCTTTCAGACTTCTACCAGAGGACTGTTGTCTTTTCTAAAAACTATTTGAATCATACTTTTCACTGGATAACAAAATAGTTATTTTAGTTTTAGAAAGCATTCTATTTCATATCTTGCTAGGCTAGAATAAGCAAAGATTGGGAAAGGAGAAATATTAAAACAAAATTTACCAAAGTTGGACTCTGGAAACAAAAAATGGCTCATCCCATTTTTTAACATTCTTAAGATTTTATATGAATAAGAAACCTTTTAGTAGTAATTTCTCTCCCCCAACCTGGTGTTTTTCTCTAATATTTTAGGACATTTTAGATGAAATGAGAAAAGAATTAACAAAGCTAAAAGAAGAGCTCATTGATGGTAAGTCTCTGAGTAAATTTGCTACCTCTTTAAAATATTAAGAAGAGCTGTGTTTAAGAAAATGCAAATAAAGAAAATTTTTATTACTTAAAGATAATAACTTTATCATAGTATCCAGCTCTTTGTTTGGCTTAGGATGTCAGGAGGAGCTCTCCAGCTTATAATGGAAATTATTTCTAAAAATAAGGATAAACAAGATCCTTAGTTGCAAATGTTGTCTGTTATTTGAAAAACTGGATGGGAAAATTTTTTCTTTAGGTTACTTCTACTCATGTATCCCACTGTCCTCTTGATGTTGAGCCCACAGAATTGGGTTTTTGGTTTCTTTTTTGTATACAAAAAGGGAAATAAATAAATGTATACACTTTAAGAATTAGAATCATCTTTATAATAAGACAAAGATCTAGATAATGAAAGCTGCAAAAATCAATGTATTGACAAGCACAGTGCTGCATGCCTGTAATCCCAACAGCTCAGGAGGCTGAGGCAGGACGGATCTCTGGAGTTCAGAGCCAGCCTCAGCAACTTAGTGAGGCCCTAAGCAACTCAGTGAGACCCTGTCTCTAAATAAAATACAAAATAGGGCTGGGGAGATGTGGCTCGCTGATTAAATGCCCCTGGGTTCAACACCTACTCCCCCCCCCCCCCCCCCCCAAAAAAAAATCAGTGTACTTGAATACAATCCTTAAAATTTCTTAAGAATTAGTAACTCAGGCTGGGGTTGTGGCTCAGTGGTAGAACACTCGCCTAGCACGTGTGAGGCACTGGGTTTGATCCTCAGCACCATGTAAAAATGAAATAAAGATATTGTGTGTATTTACTTTCAATCCTTTTTCTTTCCAGCAATCAGGCAGGAACTGAGCAAGTCAAATACTGCATAGAGAAGCAAACTAAGGAGAGATACAGAACTTTTTAATCTGGAGAGAAAAAGAAAAATTTCCTAGAATCCCCCTACTTTTCCCTCCCCCTCCCCCCAACCCCACAATGATTTTATGAGCTATAAGAAGAAAATGGAGACAACCAGTCAGAAGGAGGGAGAAACCGACATCCTCTGAAAGCCTTCAGATATTATGACTGGCGATCAGTTATTTCCCTCCCAGTTTGCTGCTTTTTTCTGACCTTTACCACAGGATGGAAGAGAGTCGTATATGAGTTCCTGTTAACGGTTATGCAGAAAATACTAAGCTCGTCAGGCAAGATCACCATGCATTGAAATATTTTCATGTTGAGATAAAACTGCACATTTTCCACATTGCTAAAATAAAGAAGAGAAAGGCTTATGAAGTTTTTTTTCGCCCCCTAGAGAGTGCTGATGAAGAATTTAGCAAGTTCTGCTATTGTATTGTAAATGTTTCTCAGGTTTGTCTTCCTATCATATTTGATATTCCATGAATAATGAGATCAGCCCTGTGTAGGTTAAGATCATAAACTGGAACAAATGAAATTATATTTGCTTTCAAAGGGTGATATTTGTCAGAAAGTGTCCTAAAAATGATTGGTCCAGCTTGAGGAATTTTAGAATGATAGGAAGTCTCTCAAGTTAGCCTTCATGCAATTTTGTAGTTTAAAACATAAAATTCATCCAGAATTTAAAGATTTAGATGCCTTCCTAAATTGTTACAATGCTTTACCAAATCTATGACTTCTACATAACACAAACCAGTGGTCAAATGTAAAACAATATACTGTAGATTTACTGTAGGTTTTCAACCTTTTTTAGATTTATGCATGTGGACATTTTTATAATGTACTTACAGTCACCACAATGTTAGCTTTTTTAATTGCAAACAGTAATGCATGTCACACTAATATGTAGTGGCCTTTTCAAGGCTGAGTCCCAGGGAAAACATTTTGTAGAATATAGGGAAATGGGAGGAAGGGAAGGAATAATTTTTTATTTGAAGTTAATTTCTGCACTATCTTTTTTCTCAATTACCTGCATGAATAATAATGAGGAATATTTTGTGACTTTAATTGGTAAATATGTTAACAAAACCAAGTACTTAACCTTTTACATCATGTCTTCAGCTATTTGTATTTTAACCGGTAATTTCAATGGTCTGAAACATGATACTGAGTTTCACATTAATTAAATCTTATTGTGGAACTCAAAGAGTTTGATCACTGAATTTGGCAGTTATTAATACCTAGGTACCCCTGCAGTGATACAGGTGTTCAGGTACATGATCCTGATGATGCAGCTGCCTTTGAATTTTGTTATGTTGAAATACAAGAAATAACAATGATGGCAGCAATTAAGGTCACAGAAACCATTAGCTAAAGGGAAACCATTGAAGAGTTCTGCAGTTTTCTTTTTTAACAAAGTGAGACTTCGGTGGTGGGAAGGAGTAAGATACTTTATTATCACCCTGTGTTGGGTGTGGGTGGGTGTGCGCTTGCGTGCAGTGTGTGTGTGTGATCCACTCCCTTCTCTTTGAAACTGGTAAGATTAAAATAGGGCAGAAATCCTATATGTTACAATTACAGATTTCTGGAAAATTTAGGAAATCAACCATTCTCCAGGCTCTCCATCTTATGCTTGAGTTGTTATGTGCCATAATTGCTTTTAATTCTCTTATAATCAAATCTTACACTAAAATTCGGAAGAAATAATCCACCTTCATCTGCTTTCTAGATTTTGTACATCTCAGTTCTAAGACAAAGCTTATTGATAGCATAATTTTCTACACTCTGCAGATTTGCAGTTGTTACCACTACAAAAAAGTTTGAGGGAATTTTTTCCTTGTTAAAATAGTTTCTATTTCTGTAGAAACTTCATTTTTAGATTAAATTGTGATGGGTGAGCTATCATAATTCAAGAGTAAACAGGTCTTTTTTCTATCAAGTATTCATTGTCATGTGATAGTAGTAAAGGCATTAAAGATGCAGCAAGCTTATAAATTACTATTCTCTAAAGGAAATAGGAGGCATTTTCATCTTTATTATTGTTCTTTTAGACACTTTGATAATATAAATGTTTATGTCCCCTATTAAATCTGGTCAGAAATCACTTTTGATTTTGTTGGGTAAGTTAAATAGTCTATAGTGGGTAGAGTACTGAGTACAAGTGGTCCAAAGTAAGATTAAAAAACTAAAATAAAATGCTAAATCTTAAAAGAAACTGGTTTATGCACTAAACGTTTTGTGCCTTGGTCTAATATTAACATGATGTCTGTGTAAAATGACAAAAAAGAACCAGTGTTGAATCATGCTATATTCTCCATCATTGTGCATTATCCCAGACTGCTAAATGTGTTCCTTCCAAGACGTTTGAACTACTCTACACTTTTGCTGTCATATATGACAGTTCTGTTGTTGTTAGAGATTTCAGTAATTAAAATGGGAAACAGAAGCTTAAGGTATTTTCCTAATCAAAACTATGTCCTTGGAACCACATTGTTATGATGGGTTTTGTGCTCTTATACATTGGATGTCTTAAGCTGAGTACAGTTTAGGGATCCCTTCTAATTACAGGAAGGTACTGCTTTCCTCAACACTGTGATCTGACCTGTGACAAATCTGTACTATACACTATGTAAATGGCTAACAAGTCAATTGCAAACAAACTGAATGTACAAATCTTAGTGCTGGTGCTGAAATCTCTTCAGAATAGTCATCGTGATTTAAAAGTTTGTTTAAAAATTTGCAAGCATCAATGTCAATCAAAACTGAAGATGAAACACTAATGAATGTTGATTTTTCATGCTCTAGGTGTACTTCCTTTTTAGATTTTTTCAGTTCTCTGCTGTTTTTACCATAACTGTTTAATTTAAATTTCCTACGTGCTAACTTCATTTTGTGCGATTGAAATAAAATTGCAGTACATACATGTTGCTCGTTTGTGACAGTTAGATGATCTTCTGAAATAATTTGTTAGTTCTAAAATATAAGTTACCCTGAATGTAAAAAAGGAAAAAAAAAAAAAAAACCTAAGAGTCCAAGATTTCACTACTTAAAGTTTACATATCACTATTTCTGTATGTTATTGTTGTTTGAAGATTTCATAAAAGTCAGAAATACTAAATAATGAATACAAAGGGAATGTATGACAATGTATTTACTTTTTGTTTGAAATAACTGTTGGGTGTCCCTATTTGTCTTATTTTCTCAGTACAATTTGACAGTGTCACAGTTGAGGTTATAAATGTTTGGTTCTACTCCATGTTCAACATTGTGGGCAGATACTTTGATTCATTTGTACATTAAAATTTTTTCTTTGTGTCATTTGCAAGTTAAAAGACATTGGTAAAGGGCATTATTAAGTAATTTTAAATGTAGTAAAATCTATATCTGTATTTATTCTATATGCTGGTTTCTCAAACTAGTTTTGCATATATAACCAGCAGTAATTTTGTCTATTATAATAAGTATTAATTTTGAGTTCCATTTTAAAATTATGTCTTCACTAGAAAGTTGCCCTTTTATCAGACCCCAGTCGTTTCCCACCTTCCCCCCATGCCCCTGTTATCTTCTCCTCTTTTGTGGACTGCACGTTCCTATTATTCATTTACATTTGTAATCATTAGGGAGCCCACTGTTTTAAAAATACCATTTTTCTCTCGGTCCCATCTCAAGTTTGTGCTTCTTTTTGTGTAAGAATGTTTTCTATAAACTAAATTAACTTTACATTCAAAAATTAAGCAACACGTGCTAACCTTTTAAATTTGCCTAGTTGCAGTTTTTTTGTCTCCTAAGTTTTATATATAACAGTGCCATTGGGAAGAATTGGCCTTTCTATGAAACACGGTTTACAAAGGTTTGCTAAAGGAGCTCTTTAATTCATTCTATGGCTATCATAACTTTATAGCCTCATTACCCTTAAATTCTACTATGTGCTGTCCTAATTCCTTTGTGCAGCTATTAAAAAAAAAAAGAAAGAAACAAATTCACTTTACAAAAGAAATTTACTCCAGCATTGACTTCCAAAGTCCAAATCTGATCCTAGTTGTACCATTTTGTTTTTAATAGATTAGTTAGTATCTGTGCATCCCCTTAAAGCTCTGAGAAATGAGAAAAGGATCCTAAAAGTATATTGAAATTACTGATATTTAATACCTCTGACTCTTCACCGAAGCCATTTATTATTTATAAGTTAGACATGTTTGATGTCAAAACTTGATATATTTATAAGAAATCTCTGTGACTAAGTGAACAAAAATTTTCTAGGTTCCTTTGATTACATAAAGACAGAGGACATTTACTTTTAAGAAGTTTTTTTTGTTGTTGTTGTTGTTGTTGTTTTTTTTTTTTTTTTTTTGATTAAGAGGCTCAACCTCTCAGGAAAAGCCATTTATTTAAGCCAAGCATTGTGTGTAGTCTGTAATGCAAATTTTGTTTACTCCCTGTGATCTCATAATTTTTGAGATGTAAAGAGATTTTTTTTTTAATACAGCATTGGAAAAAATAAAAGCTCCAAATTTTATAGTATAAAATTGACTTAAAAAAAAAAGAAAGCAAAGATTCTGCAGTAAATCTAGTTTGGTAATAGTCACCATCAGTGGAACACTAAAGGTCAAGCCTCGAAAGAGGAAAAATGAGCCCTTTGGAAATAGAAAATTTGAAAACTGCTGAAGTATGAACTATGTAAACTTACATGTCTTCCTAAATCATTTATAAGTAACAGACATTGTGAAAGGGTAATAAAATGACTGGGTCATGATGACTTAGCTAGTTTTAAGAATTTGCCACATTTATTGGTTCTTTCTTTTTTTAGTGGTGCATGGTGATTGAAACCAGGGCCATGTACATGGGAGGCAATCACTCTACCAACTGAGCTATGTTCCCATCCCTTATTGGTTATTTCTGTTGACATCTGAAGGAACTGATATTGATACATGTGAAAAACATGGAAAGGAAAAGATTACTTTTCAATTATTACATTTCTGTTGCACAAAAACTTTCTAAACTCAATGGTTGGGATCACAGAAGGCACATCATAGGCCTTGAGTTCTTGCTGTAAACATGCAAAATAAACACTGAAACCTTAGCCTAATGTTTGAACCAAGGATAAGTCACTGAGTGGCACCCTAGTTTTTTTTTTCTTTCTTTCTTTTTTTTTTTTTGAAACATATTGAATAATCAGAACATAGTTGGAGTCTCTGGAAGCTTCCAATGTAGAACTCAGGATTACTGAGTTCTACAGAAAGAAAACCCAGAACCCAAGTAAGATAACAGGAGAGAACAACCTACCTCAGTTGTGCTCTCTTCCCTACTAGTTGGAAAACTCAGAATACATTAGTGAACTTGTCACTTAATTCAGACTTTCCTCAACAAAAATTAAGTTCTGAGGATACAGCTTTCAATTTTAATAAAAATTATTAGAAGCTTTTGTATCTCATTAGCCAGGTTTGTTAAATTGTATTTGTAACAAAAATCTGTGTATAGGTGACAGCTTCATCATTTGTTATGTTGTAAATCTGATTTCACTATTTCCCTTAAAGTCTTTGAAAGATTTCTTTAACAGAAGATGACAAAACTCTAAAATACATATTTTTAAAAAATGCACTAATACAGGCGATTACATAATAAGTAATGGGTTGTTTTGTTTGGTGTTAGTCAATAGTTGTTTTTCCAAGAAGTCTTAGAATATATAGAAGATCGTGTGATTTTGAACTTTGTATTGTATAGGAAGTAGCATTTAAATGAAAACTACATTGATTGAGGGATATTTAGTACTCCATAAGGTCCAAAAGTTTCCATTTAAATTGACAGAAACTCCAAATAGGTTCTTGGTTTACCTTTAAAATGTGCTCTAGGCCTGGTGGATGTAGCTCGGTGGTAGAATGCTTACATAGCATGTACAAGGCCTGGGGTGCCATCCTTAGCATCGTCTTTTCTCTCTCTTATGAAATAAGTATGTCACAGAGGCTTTTAAAATTTTTTGTTCTTGCCAGGCGCGGTGGTGCACGCCTGTAATCTCAATGGCTCAGGAGGCTGAGACAGGAAGATGACGAATTGAAAGCCAGTCTCAGCAACAGCAAGGCACTAAGCAACTCAGTGAGACCCTGCCTCTAAATAAAACACAAAGTAGGGCAAGGGATGTGTCTGAGGTTGAGTGCCCTGGAGTTCAATCCTCAGTTGTGGTGGTGGTGGTTGGTTGTTCTCTAATGAACACCTGCTGTTCACAATCTTTAGTTGCATCTATGGATCATCTTTAGACTGCCCCATGTGGGGGCTGGAGTTGTGGCTCAGTAGTAAAGTACTTGCCAACATGTGTGAGGCACTGGGTTCAATTCAAGTCTCAGCACCACCTGTCAATAAAATAAAGGTCCATCAACAACTAATAAAAATATTTAATAATTAAAAAAACCTACCCACCCACTCCCTGCAACTTTAAAGGCATCTTCAAAATTTTTCAAGTCATTTCAGGGGAGAAATATCAGCTAAGATTTTCATCACCACAGCCTGGTTGAACCCAGGTGCAGACTTAGTTTGTTCTGCTGACTAAGGCATTAGGTGTTTTACCATAAAGTCAGGTTTGTCTGCTCTGGGGGCAGATTAACCCAACATTGTCATTGCAAACCTCATCTGATTGCTGCTAGTTGTGAAGCCTCCCCAGTGCCAGTAATTGGGCACTTGAGAGAAGTCAAGTGTGAAATTGTGCAGACCTGAGCTTCTCATCAGCTGCTCTTGGAGTATTGGTTTTAGGCACTGAGTTTGCAGCTAACATTTCCAGGGAGAATAGTAGTTTATCTGGGTATTTAGGAAGGGTTAGATATTTAAGAGAAAGCCATATTAAAATCTAGGTATCGTTTCCTTTCTACTTACTTACTAAAGGGGTAAGAGTTGCAAGCCTCAGCCAGTAGTTGACAATTTGGTTTCCCTACTGTAGACTCTGTGCCTCATTGTAACCTAAAATTGCAAAAGTGAAATTTGGAGATATTTGTGCCTCACTTGAAATAACTGTGAGAAAACATGGTAAAAACTTACACCCTAGGTATGAATAAGGAAAAGTTAATGGATGATCAGTCTGAGGTTAGTGTGGTGTAAGTGTTAGTGACATGTTTTTCCTCTTGGCATCATCATTCATGTGCTATGACAGGTTGAAATCCAGCCATCTGCTTGGTAGCTTCTGTGGAGGCAACATTCAGGAAGGCCAGTCTCAGTGATATAATGGAATCACATCAGACCCAACTGGGATATGTCAGTGACAGTCCTTTGGACTCTATAATTGAGGTATTTCTAAG